AGGAAAAAGTGCCGCTGAGAATTCCCAGAAGGTCCCGGACGTGAGGTCACTGGCGTGATGTCACCGGGCCCGGTTCCAGGAATCAGAAACTCGTGGGGGAGGAAGACAAGTTCAGAAAATGAGAAAGAAGAAAGTCGTGGGTGTTGTCGCTGGCTGGCTAGGCGGGGCCCCAGACCCGGTCCTGCCGGGACTTGGTCGTCCTGACCCAGGAGAAGGTTCCCAAGGACAAGACACTTCCCTCATAGGATGGAAATGCCAGTTAAACACGCAGATACCGGTCTGTATTAACCGAGGTCGGGAGGTCTGATACCAGATGGTATGAGTGTGGGTGGGGAAACAGGTGTACTTATCCAGTGTTTTCACGGTGAAAACCGGATGCCCTGCCACTTTGGAGAACAACTGCCAATGTGCTCCGACTTCTGAATGAACATGCCCTTTAAGGTAGCCGTTGCGTGGAAAGGGATTTATCCTACAGACCAAAATGCGCGGACAAATGCATTCTAAGTGGTTCACAGCAGCGTTGTTTGAAATACCCAAGATGAGAAATCAGCGTAAACGTCCCTCAGTAGGGAACTGGTGGCATAAATTCCATGGTACACCTGTACCCTGTAACACTATGCATTGTGGGAAAGAATGAGCCCCTGTTTATGTGCCAGTGTCCAAGGTATATTGTCAGGTGAGCAAAAGCAAGGAGCATCCTCTGAACTCCTGTTCAGGCTCCCATTGGCTGGGACAGTGTGGTAATGTTTTTAAAGGTATTTATTTATCCAGTAAGTACATATGGAGCACCTATCACGTGCCAGGCACAATCCACACACTGGGGATACAGCAGGGACCAAAGCAAGGCTCTTGTTACGGATTGAATTGTGTCCTGGGAAGTACATGTTGTAAAGCCTAACCTCTGTGCCTGTGGTTATAATCCCATTTGGGATTGGGTTGTCTTTGTCATGTTAATGAGGCAGGATTAGTGTAGGGTGTGTTTTGAGTCAATGTTTTACAAGATAGTAAAGAGTAGATTAGGACAAGCAAGAAAGCAGAGATGGCAGAAGAACTATCCCACCCCACGTGAAGATTACCTAGGAGCAGAAGAGACAAGGACCTTCCTCCAGAGTCAACAGAGAGAGACAGCCTTCCCCTGGAGCTGGCACCCTGAATTTGGACTTTTAGCCTACCTTACTGTGAGGAAATAAATTTCTGCTTGTAAAACCATCCACTTGTGGTATTTCTGTTATAGCAGCACTAAGCCAGCCCTAATTCATGCAATTTATGGGAGTAGGGAGTAAACAGACAGAATGCATTAGGGGTGATAAGTGCTATGAAGGAAAATGAAGCAGAGGAAAGGGTTTAGAAAATTTGGGGGGGATGTGCTATTTTAGATCGGATGGTCAAGGAAGGCTTTTTGGACAAGTTGACATTTGAACAGAGACCAGAACAAGGTAAGAGAACTTCAGCTATCTGCCAGGCAGTGGGCATAGCAAGTGCAAAGGCCCTGAGGCAGGATTTTACTTGGCAAGTGAGGAGCTCTGGGGAGACCAGTGTGGCTGAAGCCTGATGGGCAAGGGACAGAAAAGTAGAAGGGAGAATGGCACAACTGGGGAAGTGGAGGGAGGCCATGTAGACCCCTATAGTTCCTTATGGGGCTTTGACTTTTACTGTGAGATGAGAAACCATTGGAGGGCCTTGAGCAAAGAAGTGACATGATCTGACTTCAGTTTTGAAAGATCGCTCTGGCTGCTGAGACAGATACAGAGGGGCAGGACTGGGGTCAAGGAGGCAGCTGTTGCAATAATGCAGGAGAGAGGGGACAGTGGCTTGGACAAGGGTGGTAGGAGATGTCCAGCACTGGCCTGCTTCTGGATGTATCTTGATAGTAGAGCTATCGAAGAAGCCGTGGTGGCGCAGTGGGTAAGCGCTCATCTGCTGACCGAAGGTTGGTGGTTTGAACACACCAGCCG